TTTCCCTTACACTCTTGATAGGCTATGACTTTGTGTTTTTTGATGGTTGTTTTTGCAGTGGTTGAACGGTTCGCAGGCTTCCCCCTTCTTCCTCGAACAAGCTTTGCGCTATTGCCTCCCGTGCGTCTTCTACGACTCCGATCTGCATATCTCCTTTGGTAAGAGTTCATTTCTCTTTCTCACGAATTGAGCTTGAATCTTTTATGGCGGCTGTTATTTTATTCTAAGAACAACCCTTTTTTCAGAAACTCAGAGGTTTAAATGGGTCGATTTTACTTGCTCTTGAGTTTGTGATTTTATTTGCTGTCCTGAAATCAAGATTGTCGATTTGGTCTGGATTATTCCTTTCCTTTCTGTCCTCTTGATTATCCGTTGTATCTGGAGAACTCGAGGATTACGTCATGATATTTGGATGGTGGCTGTGTTGGATTTATCAGTCTTATTCTGGGTTTACCAAGCATTCCTATTTTGGGGTCTTTCTGTTTTATTAGAGATAGACTGTTTTTTTGAGTGAAAGTTTTAATCGCTCAGATTTTTAGTTAGGCTATGTTTTGGGTTTTGGCAGATTTGTAGCCTGTATATGCATGTGGTTTTTATCCCAGACTTGGAAGAAAATGGGATTGAGAGTGAGGAAAAAACAGCACAGAAAGCATGGAATAAAGAATTGGGAAAAAGAATATGATGGATGAATAGGTTCACCTCGTTTATGTTTGTGTGATGAGAATGTGGTTCAGTTAAGCAGTGGTCGTGCTGTGTTTTCTTTTGGCAATCTCATTCTATAGTTTTGAAAGTGTAGTTGTTACATCATTGTTCTGCCTCTTTGAAATTTCTTTCTGCATTATTTGTCAATTTACAAACCTTAAATCTTATTTCAGCAGTTTAAAATGGAAGATCGAGGTCCAACTCCTCTTGATCGATTGGTCCCATATGAAAAAATTGGAATATGGAGACCAAGATTTTCAGGCATGACTGATAAATATGGAGGTCTACACTGTGTATTAGTTGATGAAAAGGTCAGTAATCAATTCTTAATAATACTGTTTGATAAGCTCTTAACAACACGTGTTAAGAATTTTGTATTTGTTCTAATACAGATCACATGACATTTTTACTCTCTGGGATAAACACAATCTCCAATTCATTTCTAATCTCTGTATTCTTTCATTTTCTATCAGAAAATTACATATTAGTTATCATCCTGGCTCTATGTGATAAGAATTGTTTTTTGGGTGCATATGCATTGTCTTAACCTGTTAATTACACTAATAAATTCACTCTTGATGTTTACTATCCATCTTATTCTCTAATATTTGTGATTTACATTTATTTTCATATTATTTCAAGTATTAAATATATCAACTCTCATGTTAAGTCTATGCGACATGTAATTATTTTATGGGTATCCATTGCCTTTAAATTGTTAATTACAATGATAACTTGGCTTTCAGTATTTAGCATTCATCTTAGTCTATAATGTTTGTCATTTGCAAATGTTTTCATATTATTTTAAGTTTCAAATTTAGTGTTATTTACCTATTCATGATATCTTTGACAATTTCTTTTTCTTCCTTTCTCAATGTTTGGTTATCAAGGAACAAGCGATAGAAGCGTCTTCTGACGAAATGGACTATCATATTATAGTCCCAAAAATTGAAGCAGGTGCTTGCTATGAGATTATCAATTTTCGTACCAACAAAATGAGAGGCCAGTATCGAGTAGTCCCGCATGACACCCATGTCGTGTTAACTGCCAAAACAGTTTTTAACAAGTTGACAAGTGTGTTTCCACCTATTCGGCATCACAAATTTTTTTTGCAAGATTATAATAGATTGTATCCTAGGCTGAACAAGACTGATATCCTAACAGGTAATAAATATGTACGCATGTATATATGGCTGTGTGTTGCAATGCATTGATACATGTTTTATGAAACATTTTGTCCTCACCTAATTATGTTTTGGTTTTCTTTCTTTTTTCAATTTTGCAGATGTTATTGGTCATGTGGTTGGAGTCCAGTGTTTGGGGCCCGTAAAAGTGAACCAAAGAATTGATCACAAGTGTGATGTGGTTATTCAAAATATCAGGTTATTTACTTTTCATAGCATACTTTTTAATTGTTTTCGTCGATATCCAAACTGTCGTTTTGGCTTCTTATCAAATTAGGCAATCATATACTTTTCTTAAAAAAAAAAAAAAAAATCTATTTTGGATAAAAAATTCTGTCACATTTTATCACTTTTTCATTATCTTGTTTTGATCATTTTATTTGCCAGAAAAGACGAAGCTAAGATTACATTGTGGTCAGACGTTGCACACAACTTTACTTCTTTATCGTTCGATTCACTGCCTAAAGCAAGAATTATTGTTTCTACGAGCTTGAAAGTCAAGCTATTTGGAGGTATATATTTCAATCAAGAAATCATTTTTTTGCTATTCTTTCTTCCAGATGTTTACATGCCTGATTAGTTTTCAAATTTTATTATTTTCCTAGACAGTGTAATATGGTTTTATTGAGTTTTCAACTATTTTTCAAAATAAGTGCAGCTATTCTGCGCGTTTATAACATAAATATTTTGATTTGTGAAAATAAAAATTGTTATGTTGTTATGTAGTCTTTGAACAACATAGTGTTCATACATATGCTTTGTTCGATGTCTATTAATTTTGTTATTAAAAAATCAGTGTAGGTTTGGATTAGTCATTTACTTAACTGCTTACAATGTCAACAGATACATCTTTTTTCCCCCTTTTTCTATTTTCATTTTCTTTTCTGTCTTCTTTATTCTTATTTCGTTTCCTTTTTTTTTTTAATACAAAAAGCATCATTGTGACATCTCGTTCCGGAATTATCGGAAACGTACGTGTGAAATTACCATTTTACCCCTAGTTTGTTTTGTTATGTTGTTTGGTTGTTTGTGTGGTGTTGACAAATGGAGGGCCACACACACACACACTGTCTCACTCTCCCTCTCCCTCTGTCATTTCTCTGTCTCTCTCTCTCTCCCCCGAGTTCCTTTTTCTTCTCCCCTCTACCTTTGAACTAGTACGGACACACACAATTACCCTTTTTCATCACAGATCGAAGGAACTAATGGCTTAGTTGTGATTGTGAGGCTGTGGGGAGCAAGATCATACCAAAATCAGGTACGAATTTCGACGTTTTCACGTCGATATCGCCATGTCCGTTTTAGTTACTGTTCATGCAAGATTAATTTAGTGAGTTTTTGGACATTTGAAGCTTATAGTTGTGTTTGTGAGGTTCCCAAGGGCTTGGGAGTATATCGTTGGACGAGTTTGGACGCAGGAATAGCCTGGTTCGAGTTTGGCCGGTTATGGCGAGTTTGGACAGGTATAATCTCGTAATATTAGGCCTTAAAACTTGTTGGGACATGTTCTACTAGCTCTAAGGTTGATTTTGGTGCAAGAAACGTGAAAAAAGGTGGAAAAACGAGCGAGAAATCGCGATTTGCAGGTTTTCCGGCGACGGCGCCGGCGACGGCGACGGAGACTGATCGGAGAAGGAGACGGAATATTCCGTCAGAGTTGACGGAATATTCCTGACACCGTTAACGGAATCTGTCAACTTTGACGGAATATTCCTAACGGCGTCAGTTGACACCGTTAGTGTGCACGGCACGTGACTGCGCGTGGGTTCGTGCCTATTTTGGCGCGTGGGGGCGCGTGAGAGGTCCAAAAATTATTTTAAAAATATGGCTGTGATCCTGAGGTTGTGTAGAGCACATTGGTATATTCATTTGTCCATTTTGAGCAATGTATGAGAAGTTATTTTGAACGGAAGGTTATGTGCTTTAAAGTTAACGTTTTTATAGTTAATTCGCATATAGGTGACACGTATCCCGAGGACGAGCGTGCACACTCGAGGCAGGGGGGCTACGACCCTTCCACATACCAGTGAGTGGGCTTTTGGTTTTCCGTATATACCTATATACATATAATTCCCAGAAATTAGTATAAATGCTTATTCGTTATATGCCGTTTCTTTTATATAATTGGTTATGCATGGTTAGTTGCATATATGGTTATTATGTATATTCATTTATACGTTTATATATATAATGGTGCTGTGGAGGCACAGGTAAGTGCCAGGTAAGCGTTATTTCATATATGCATTCAATAGTGATTAGAGATGCTTAGAGAGCTCATAACCTGCACCCCCGGTGTTAGTGCTCCCGCCCAGAGTAGGGCACAGTCCTTCACGTGTTGTTCACCTCCCGCACCATACGCTCAGCTTGGATCCAAGTTAGGTGCACAGTCTTGTCGTACAGACCACTATAGGTGGTTCCGACTCGTAGGTGACCCGCGATTATTCGCACAGCCTTCACGTGATCGTAGCACTAGAGCGTTTATATGTATTACACCCAGGCTTGTCGTACAGACCACTATAGATGGTTCCGACTCGTGGGCAGGTTTAGTTGTTGAGATTGAGATTTGAGCTCTAGATTCAGCCGTACAGGTCACTTTAGGTGACTCCGGCTGCCAGTGATAAGTTATTGACACGGTTTATACCTGAGCACTTGCATATTATTATGAGGTTTTGAGCATGACGGCATACCTTTGAGCATGATGGCATACCCTTGAGCATATTTGGCATATTTATACCTACGTATATATGTTTATTTTCTGGGAAGTATACAGGTTTTACGGCGAAGGGTTAGAATGTATTTTATGAAATAGTTTTCAAAGAATTTGTTTTTGCCCACTCACGCTTTTGTTTTGCGCCCCTCCAGGTTCTAGTAGCTTAGCGGGTTCGGTGGTTTTCCCAGTGGACGTCCCGGCATTTCTGACAGACACGCATCGATGTAGGGTCACCTTCGGGTGCACTATTGTTGTATCTTTTCTTTGGACTGCTGTAGTCTTTAGGCTCTAAATTCAGCGTCTCACTTACGCTAGCACCTACTTTATCACATTACATATGCTAGTTTTAAATTACTCGTACTTTTATATTATTTCCTTTAGCTTCCGCACTGTGCACTTGGCTACGTCACCTCCACGTGACGGCCAGCATGCCCTGATCGCGGTTGGGGTGTGTCAATCATCCTCAACAGCACCGGTGCAACACTTTTCTTTGTTGATCCAGAAATTCCAGAATTAAATTCATATAAATTAGTGTAAGTTCATTCATTATCATACAATCAAAATCATAACACACCTACAATTATTTAAAGAAAAATAACTATTCTTTTCTCAAAACTGTTGCAGGTTTTCTGGCTCACCTCACCCTGTTACAATACTCCCTCCCTCTAATCAGGCAAGAGAAACTGAAGCTTTACAGACTGGAAAAATGGTCACAATTGAAGAGTTGGGCCCCTTAGACCCAGATTTATATACGGTATACAAAATGCTTTTACTTTATCATATTAAATCAAAATAATCTTATTCAATTTTTACTTCTTTTACATAAGCTTTCTATTTCATGATTATTAACTATCTAAACATCTTTCTGGATATTTAACAAGATGATCATTTTTGTGCAAGGCATCAATTAAGCGGTTTAACACCATATGAATGGTGGTATGCTGCTTGCCCTACATGTGCCAAACGAATGTACAAGGACCCAACAATTGGTCAACTGATGTGCCAAAAACATACAAATCAATGCCAACTCCTTGGTAATGAGTTAAAGACTATATTTCACGTTTGTCAATTGATTGTTGTCTCATATCCTTCTTAAACTGAAACTTATCCTTTATTATGTTTTTAATTACATATTTTCAATTAATAGTTCATTGATCATGTAACAAAATTACAAGCCATAAGTTTAATTAAATTTGAAATCAAACTTTGCATACCTATCTTTGTATTTTTCATATGATTAGTATTAACTTTAAACCATACCATAGAAAAATCTATGAGAATGCAGTTCTTGACTTATTACACTGTTTATCCTCTGTTATTAATGTTTTTTCTATTTGAATAGAGGTACAAAGTGTTCGTGGTCCTTGAAGACGAAACAAATGAGATCAATGCTCTCATTATCAGCAAATCAGGCGAAAAGGTCTTTGGCATGCCATGCAAAAATTTGGTTTACAATCAAAGATCAACATATTACAAGCAATTGCCAAGTGAGTTTCTCAGACTTATAGGCCAAAGGAAAATTTTTCACCTCCGGTTTGGAAGCCGACAAAATTTGTTGAATTCAAATGATCTCCTTATCTACAATGTTTCTGAGGACACAATGATCCAACCAACAACACTGGAGTCTATTATCAAAGAAATTGCAGTGTCTTTAGCAACAGTTTCATTGTCCACTACATCAGCTGAAAAAACCAGAGAAATGCACAAGAGGAAAAGAGATTCAATCAGGAGAGCCCTTTTTATAGAGGCTGAAAACAGGTGATATTCTACATCACGGCATTTTTTTCTCATTCTCAAATTATTTTCAATCTGATCTTAATCTATTTTTTCTGTCTCTTTAATATCTTTGGCACAGTGAGACAGAGGAAGTCTCTGAAGCAGATGTGTAGGATTTTGATCAGATTCCAATCAAATTGTTAAAAAAAACATCTTCTCCAACAAGCATGAAAAAAGACCCTCCTCTACCAAAAAAAACTAGGTAACTTTGGTCCATTCCTATTTTTTATATGATGTAACCATATTTGCACACACACTTAATTACAGCTCAGTTAGCATTTACATCTTTTTTTTGTCCATCTACACATCTTTTATTTGCAGTTACTGCCAGAAGGAACAAACTTTTGCTGCTATAGAAAAGAGTCTGATCATCTTTTGTTAAAACAACAGTGCTTCTCCATATTTTTTGCGTGTAAATAGGCCACCATAACATTGATACCCCTATTTTTTGTGCACATGAACAATCTGACGTTTTCAAATCTTTCACCTGCAACTGCTGATGCTGATCAACACCTAACATGGCTACCAGAGGGTAGTATCAGACTTATCACTTTTGTACATCCATGTCAAAATGTTTCCTAATGTTTTTTGCCTAAATTGTACAACTATAAACAGTGGCCTGTAAAAATATTGACTACATTTTATATCCAATCTTTACTATGTTTATGTTAGTAGTGTAACATTTCTGTACATTTGGATTTTCATCATATGATCTTTGGTTTTATTTTCGTTCCCGCAACAACATGCGGGCACACAATTTCCTAGTTGCACACTAATAATTGGAGAAGTGAATCAGGTTCTGAATATAATACTAGTAAACGTGTTGATCGTGTCAAAATTTGGGTTACCGAGTTTGGCACTAACCCAACTCGTTTATTATTGATTGTGCTTAGGAGATCATTTCATATTCATTTTTGTATGCCAAAACTGGCAACATATATGCATGCCTTTAATTATGCATGTATTGTTTGGTGGACGTGCAGCATCCTCGTGCAACGGATACAAAAATGGAGTGATGATAGCAGCAGCAAGCGATGCCATTTGGGGCAACAGAGCTGCGTGTGGAAGAAGATGCTGAGTGACATGCATCGGAGCCACCAACCAAGATGTTTGGGTTAATATTTGAATATTGGCTTAATAGAAAGAAAGCCCAAAGGTGCTAAAATAAGTTGCACTTGCCCGAAGCCCAACCTTGAAGCCTGATGCGGAGTAAAAGCCTTCTCAGCCAAGACATAAGCCACGTATTTATGATTGAAGTGATAAGTGATAGAGACTAACCTACTATCAGCCAAAAAGCACTTTCTAGTGGCACGACAAGTAAAAAGTTGATGACTCATTACCTTCCAAAAGCTCTCGACCAAGAACAAAGATAAGAGTAGTCGGGCCAAACTACCTATAAAAGGGAGAAGAGACAACAGAGATACGGACATTGAACCAATCAAACAAACAACATACAAACTCTACTTTCAAGCCGAATTTGCATCTAGAAAAGCTGAAACCAACTTAGATTCAATCTTTTTAGTCATAGTCTCCTTATAAAAGTTATCTTTTGCCTAGTTTAAAAGCTCTGCTACCTTTCTTAGTGTTATAGTATCAATTCTCTCGTGTAAAACGTACCATCCGTCCCTTTTTAGATCACAACCTTTGTAAACACAAAGAGAAGTGGCTGCAAGAGGTTCAATCTTACCAGATAAGGTGAAATTTTACACTAGTCTCTTTGTTTGTCCTCTAAATTAGTAGATTTGTCGCCTAAATGTATTTTTCAGCATGTATGCAAATTATTTCCAATTATTTCTAATTATTTCCTACTTAAGAGTTCCATTTGCATCCAGATTTGGTAAACTCAATAGATATGTTTTCATTAAGAGCAACTTGAGATCAAAAGCATGGTTTAACGGAATCTAAACTCCTTCCTTTCTAAACATATAAGATTATGAACTAAAAGTCTTTGCTTACAAGGCAAGAAAAATAACTCAATATTGACTTAATCCATATGTGACAATCCTTTGATAACAAGAAGTTTGAGTAACTTGGGGCAAAAGTAATCAACTTAAAACACACTTGTTCTACATTTGCTATACTGAGACAGCAGTGACACGCCTAGATTCTTGTTAGTTTTGATTGTGAATCTCAAGGCCCATACCTAAGGCCCCACAAAGGCATCTTTCAAATTAACTTCAAACCCATCTTGCATTACACCAAGTAGCAAGAGCCCGACGACCAACATTCAACAAAAGTGCTATTCACCCTTGGGGAGCTGTGCGAGAGGTCATCCACCTTTGCCTTCGAACATAGTTTTGGCATGCCTGGTGGGATCTAGTTAGTCTTGTATGCCAAGAAGGAAAAGGAAGGAGCAAACCTTCAGGTGGAATATAGAGTACAAGCCACCCCCAGTGTCTACAAAGATCAGATATGATAGATCATCCAGAAGATTTCCCTTCCCTACGAGGACCAATGAAGACTTGCAAGTCACCATTTGAGAAGATCATCCAGAAGATTTCCTTTCCCGACTTCATTTGAGAAGTCAGGAGGAAAGGTGACCAATGAAGACTTGCAAGCCACCATGGTGCAAGTGTTAAAAAGTATGGAGATGATTTCTCTGGAGACCAGATAAGAGGTGAGCAAACTTTGTTCTTTAATAGGAAGTTTGCAGAGAAGACTAGATCTGAAGTACTCTACCCCAAGAGATGGTTATGCTAGAGAAATGATGAGGGAGGCAAGCACACCAGCTATTCCCCTATTTCCTTTACTCGAGGAAACGAAGGAAAATGGAAAGGAGAAATTAGGGCCTGGAGCTAGTCAACTAATATTAGAAGAGATCTTTGAAACAAATTTGCCCGACCCTATATTATTACCATTAGATAGTAAAGGGCAGGTCGGGCAAGATAAGAGGAAGTATATGATGAATCAACAAGCTAGAGAGTCCAGTTGGAAGAGTGTGTCTACAGTTGCGGGCAAACCACCTCCTTATAGGCCAGCGTTGATGGTTAATAAGGGAGAGGAAGTCAAGTGGAGACAAATGGAGCCAAAGAAAGAAACTTTCTCAGGCAATGAGAGAAACCTAAAGTGGGGGCCTCCTTATACCCCACACAAAAATGCAGCTAGCCAACAACTCAGAGATGAGTTAACTCAGCTAAGAAGAATGGTGGTCCAGGATGCTCAATCCCAAGCTCGCCCGCTGTTAAGAATCACATATCAGAAGTCCTACCCTGAATATATTGATGAGCAGAACCCTTTTCCCCTTAACTTCAAGATGCCCGCGTTCCCAACATTTAGTGGAGAAGATGGCAATGTGTCATCTATAGATCACATCTTCAAGTTCTCCAATTACTTGAAGATGCTATGGTTTTTCAATTGAAACATGAAAACTATAGTCAGATATAGAAGCTTACAACAATGTTGTTTGGATGGGAAAGTTCATTTGTGAACTCTTCATTTGGTTCCAACTAGAAAATGTCACTAGTGCACCCCACAATGACCTTAATGGGGCGATAGCTCAAGCTAGGGAATCAAGATCTCATCAAGATCTGAACACTAATGCGAGACTAAACCAAATGATTAAGAATCATGTATAATGGCGACGTTGTTAACCTCAAGGTTTTTTCTATGGATAACATGTAGATATCCATTGTCTAGGCCAACTACTAGGTTATTTTTTAAATGACTTCAAAAGAGGTATGATCATTCATCACACAGTTGAATGGTTGTAGTTTAAGTGGGAGATTTTTGGGAATATGCCCTAAAGCCAATCATAAAATGATACTTTACAGACATTTCACATGTTAAACTAAACTAGTTTAATACAAGGGCAAAGATTATTGTTTAAAGTTGTCTCATTAAATATTATATGCTTAAACGATAAGTCCAAGGAATATGTGATTAGGAGAATGTGATCTAAAGAAGTTAGATTCATGAGACAATTCTATTTTATACACATATTCTAAATGTTCCTGACCATAGGATTGCCAATTAGGAATTGAAAATTCGCTTATATCAGTACATGCTATGTCTCTATCCCAGGAGAGTGGCTGGTCTGGAGTCATTGGTGTGATTGACACCAAGACAAGTATAGGTGCTTAGTAGAGAATGAGTACATTGAATGCTATCAATGAGGAGTTCTCATACTCATGCACATAAGAACTCATGGTTGGGATAATGCAAAGTAGTCATTTGACCATGAGACATCATAGTTATCTTGTGGTTAGGTCCTTAGTCTTTGACTACACTAAAGTTATTCCATTTGAGGATGCCCACGACATATTTGGGGCTAAGCTACTTAATCATGGGGGCATGTGAATGTGCAATAAGGGATCTCTAACCTTCAAACTATTGAGGGAGAATACTTTATGATATGATTAAGAATCCTTGGCCTATTTTATGAATGACATTAAGGAAGTTGTTCCAAATTCCATTCAAGGTAATCATGTAGAAAAGAGAATCACATTTGATAGTAGACATGAATAAACTATCAAACCAAACAATGTGATCAAGAGTATTGAATTAGAGAAAGATTGTATTCCATTTGTAATCCCAACTGAATAGGTTCTCTAAACCTCTTCTGATTAGCTTGGGTAACCATGACATACTACTAAGTGTCACTCATGGCTTGTGGGAGCCCTAAAGAAGTATAATCACTAAAAGGAGACACTAAAGTAGGAGTTCTAATCGTCCATTGCCTCGGTAAATGGAACTTAATGGATCACACACCGTGTAAGGTCATGATTCAAGGATATAACAAAGATAAGTAAGGACAATTACATAGTTTAATTGCATATGGCAAGAATTAATTAAATTAATATGTTAATTAATTTGTACGATAGGTTGGTATTGGACCTTACGTTAGTTTTGGGTTTTGGGGCCCAAAATGGTTTTGGTTCTCAAGGCCTATTAAGTTTAAGTTGTGTAACAACTAAAACAAAATGAGCAATTAGCACACTAAGCATTGGGAGGCCGGCCATTGAGAAAAGGGATGGTGTTGGTGGACTTATTACAAGCTTGCCACTCATTTGGAATGACTATAAAAGCAACTTTATAATTTCTTCCCTCATGAGGTTTTCCTTGAAAAAAAGATGAGAGAACATTTGCTCTCTCTCTCTCTCTCTAGGAGGCCAGCCACATATAAGGGATTTGGATAGCAATCTTCTTGCTCCTATGTCACTCCTCTTCATCCATAATCATCTTTGGTGTCGAAAGTTAGAGGTCTCTTATTTTAGAGACTTTTGGAGAATCTCTCAAGCATTCAAATCCAAGAATCCAGGGAGGCAACTACATAAAGATGATGGCCATGAAGTTCAACTCAAGGTGAGGAATGAAGGTCTCTCGTGGGTGACTAGTCTTTACTCATACAAAGAGGAACTTCAAAGGTATAAAGTTTCTCAACTTTTTTGTGGTATGGGTTGAGTCATGGTTCACCACCACTACTAGGCTTTGGATTTCACGGTTTTAATTTTGTTTTAAAGTGCATACAAGCATGCTTCTGCCATTTAATTGTTAAATGCATGCAATATGTTGCTTAATTAACTTAGTTGATCAAATAATTTCCTTCAAACCACATACGCCAAAAGCATAGGGAAGACCTTGTGACATTTGTTAAGTGTTTTCGAGATCTTGCCCTCGATTGCTATGATGAGAAAGACGAGGAGGCACTTGTAGATATCTGTATTAGCAACACTGTCGTTAATTACATGATGTACTTGGAGAAAATCGATATTACACAGTTCTCAAGGCTCTTGGAAGCCGTGAGGAAGATCAACATGTTTGTCAAACTTTCCACAGGGAGATCCGGGAAAAGTGACAAGAAAGAAACTCATCAAGCCCTAGCCGTGGATGACAAATCCGACTACAACCTACAAATAAGGAAGGAAATGGATGGAGATAGGGAAACTTATCCCTCACTAACATGCAGTGATGAGGATTTCCAAGCGATCCTTGATACCAAGTTGGAAGATGGAGCTATCAAGCCACCCAGGCTCTAAGTAGCCTCTTCTAGGAAAGATAAGAAGCATCATAGGTACTGTCGTTATCACCAGTACGTATGACACACCCCTAACCCCAATAACACAAGTTATAAGGCTGAGATGTGCTGGCTGTCACTAAATTGATCATATGACCCCATCATGAGATGATGTCACAAGCCAACATAATGATGAAAGTCATAGAAAGATAATTATGATTTCAAAGAATTTGAACCAAAATGTTCATTATTAATAGATAAAAGCCACTACAAAGTTTTCCTAATCAACCACCCTACTTAGGCACACATGTTCAAAATTTCTCTTGGGCGTGGATTTGATTATTTAGCCCGTCCAAGTTTTCTTATAGCTTAAATAAGCAAGGGGGCTAATGTTGAGACCCAAAAATGTCACATGCAAACCCGGTCAAGTCTTAAAGCCCAATTGTTATATGAGCCTCAAGCTAAGCCCAAATACATGCAAGGGTGCAGAATCAAGAAAGGATGCATTTGCAATGATGCCAATGCTATGGTAATTAAACCAGACATTTCTATAAACCACGCCACACTCAAGAAAATCCATGCATACTCATCACGCCAAGCTTTATCACGCTAACCACTATTCACATTAAAATAAGCCCAAATCACATGCTTGGGGTTTGCCAAGTGAATTATGGTGTAGAGGGTTACATAAGTCTATTGGGCCTACGAGGAGTCAAGATTATGGAAGACTTTGGGCCATTTGGGGGCCTAAAGATCCAAGCCCATAATCTTTGAAGTCCACGTGGGTGAGCTTGAGAAAGAACAAGCCTAATTTCCTTTTTTCCCTCGCAAGCCAACCAATCTAGGTAGGAAGGAACCAC